AAAAACTGATTAGTTAAAGGAAAGATATGATTAGTGACAAAGTTACATAATAATTAATAACAATTCCAAAAATATACAAATCAGTCCACTGACAGATATAACAATAATACACAAAACATAGAACAGATAAACACAAATGATTCCACCCACAGAGGATGTGGTAAAACATACACCCACTGGACTGATGGACATGAATGACCACCAACAGACTCGGCTGTTTAAACAATATACACTCACATGACTGACGGCCATAAGCGACCACCAACAGACTCGGCTGTTTAAGCAATATACACCCACTGGACTGATGGACATGAGTGATCAACAACAGACTCTGCTGTTTAAGCAATATACACCCACTGGACTGACGGATATAAGTGACCACCAACAGACTCGGCTGTTTAAGTAATATAAAACCCACAGACTTGGCAGTAGAAATGATATACACACACTGGACTGATGGACATGAGTGACCACCATCAGACTTGGTAGATTGAACAATATACACCCACTGGACTATTGACATGAGTGACCACCAACAGACTCGGCTGTTTAAGCAATATACACTCACTGGACTGACGAACATGAGTGACCACCAACAGACTAAGCTGTTTAAGTATCATACACCCACATGAAAGATGGACATAGTGACCACCAATAGTCTTTGAATTAGAAATGATATACACCCACTGGACTGATGGACATGAGTGACCAACAACAGACTCGGCTGTTTTAGCAATATACACCTACTGGACAGACGGACATAAGTGACCACCAACAGACTCGGCTGTTTAAGTAATATACTCTCACAGACTTGGCTGTTTAAGTAATATACACACCCACTGGACTGACGGACAAAAATATACAAATCAGTTGACTGACAGACATAAACAATAATACACAAAACATAGAACAGAAAAACACAAATGACGATTCCACTCACAGAGGAGGTGGTAAAACATACACCCACTGGACTGATGGACATGAATGACTACCAACAGACTCGGCTGTTTAAATAATATACACCCCTTGGACTGATGGACATGAGTGACCACTAACAGACTCAGCTGTTCTGATATACTGGTTCTTCTATCAACAACTATTTAACTATCTTTACCATCTTCATCTCTATTTTACCACAATCTACAAAAATATCAAAATAAGAAATGTGTGGATACAAATATCTTCAACATTTAATTGATATACACCCAATGGAGATGTAAGGATGGTACCATGAATATAACAGTCCAGTAATTGGAATATAATTACACTATTCATTAAGTACCTTCTGCTGCACTTTAACTATAATCTACCATATTCCCTACAATATTTTCAGACAAGAACGGAGTGAATACATAAATATGTGGTATTTAATTGATATATATTATAACCAAAGGATGGACAAGGAAAGGTTGATTTGAAAAATTAATACACCTACCAATTTCGTATTAAGTGTTTCGATAATCTAAACTATATTTCCACCAATTTAACCATGTTTCAACCAAACAATATTTTCACCAAATTTTACCATGATCTACAAAATTACCAATATTAAATATGAGGAAACACAAAAATATGTTGTATTTAAACAATATAATCCTAATGGATGGACAAGGAAAGGTTGATTTGAAAAATGAATACACCTACCAATTTTCCACCATGTTTGTCAAAATTTCCACCATATTTTTCCACCATGCTACCATACTTTCAAATTAATTTGATTATCCCCCAAAACCTTAAAATAATTTATCAAAATCATAACATATGTGAATGATCATAAACAAATATGGCATTAAAACATTATATAGTTAATTAGCACACCATCTCAACAAGGGACTGTTGCTGGGTTCCATGATTTGATGTCTGCCTAACCAGTTAAGAATTTGAATTAGTAAAACTACACCTACCACTTTGCATCAAGAATTGCCATATTTATACCATATTTCCACCATGTTCAACATAATTTTCATAATATTTTACCATACTCTATCAAATAAAAAAAATTTGTGAACACAAATTTGCAGCGTGGATAGTTTCTATATAGGATATGTCTTTCTGTCTACCTCGTTCACTAAGACATATATCAAAACTATACCTACCAATCTTCATCATGTGTTGCTGTATTTCTACCAACTTTTCACCATATCTAACATAGTTCCATTAGTTTTTTACCATAATGCATTAAACTTTTACTATAATCATAAAAGAGATAAGTATATTAAGCAGTTAAAGCAAATTCAAGGCAGAATCGTTGAGTTCCCTGAGGG